AGGACCGCCCCCGACCAACCGCGCCACCCATCAGGGGCCAGCCAGGCGCTGCCACGAGCAGCTAGGGCTGCGTCGAAGGCTGCGAGTTAAACAGCCACGTGGGCAAACGAGAGCAGGACCTGGCCATCGCCCATGCACCGGCCGCCCCACACCCAACCGGCCGCAGCTTCCACCGCGCGGCGCCCAGCGGCCTGGCAGTCGAGCAGGACGAGGCCGCAGTGCGCCAGGCCAAGCGGGCCCCCCTGCTCCGCCCCTCGGTCACAGGACTGCCAGCCGCCAGCAGGGGGCTGGATCCTCGCGGGCCCACCGTGGCACCAAGCTGTTCAGCTTGGCAGCGACGGCGCATGGGCGCCCACAGCCCGGCGCACGGCCGCCCACTCGAAGGAGGGAAATGCGTTCCGCAAGTCAAGGTCCAAGAGAGCGGCAACCTCGCCCAGAGGCGCGCCCGCTCCCAGACATCGGCGCACGCGCGCCAGCACATCCGCGCCCCCGGGCAGGCCGACCCCGCACTGTCGATGCGCGAGAAAAAAACGCTGGAGGTGCGTCTTGCTGTCGGCGGCTATATCCCCTTGACCACGACGCGCCGCCAAAGTTCGCCGACGCGATCGGGCGCGGGGTCTCGGTGCCTGGCTCGCGGAGGAAGACAGCGCGCGAGTCGGTGAGCCAGTGCGCGGACGCAGGGAGGGCGCCGGCAGCCCCCCGGCGGCGAAGCTCGGCAACCGCCCTGAGGAGCCGATTTTCCGCCGCCCTGCCGCGGCCTTGGAGCGCCCTTGCGCAGAAGGGTGCCGAACGCGAGCCGGCCAGCAGCGCGAGGTGCGGCGCTCCGATCAGTTGTACAGGTGTGATCCAGCCGCGCAATGCCACGGACATGATGTCGCAGCCCCAACGGGACCCTGCGGGGGCCCACTGTGACTCAAGAATGCATGCACAACCAACTTCTTCCGTCGGCGGCGAGGCAGAGTTAGCTGCGCCAGCGCTAAAGCCACATGGGGGCACCGAGAAGCGAAGTGGCCAGCGTGCAAGAGCGGGGGGAAGACAGACGAGGCGGCCGCGGAGGGGGTGAGAAAAAGCCACTCAGAGGCGGAAGAGTTCTCACCTGAGTGTGCTGGCGCGGCCGGCCCCGTCAGCGGGATCCATGGCGGCGGCCGGGCCGCGGCGCCAAGGCACCCACGGGCGATGACGGGGCCCAGTACGCGGAGACCAAGTGCTGTATTTTCGATGCCGACGAAGTAAGCGAAATACTTGGACGACAATGACATGGCCGCAAGGCCGCCCATTTGGGTGGCACGGGACAAGGCACGGCAAGTTCGCGAGCAGTTTAGGTTTGGACTGCAACCAGCAAAATGCTGGGCCCGTGGAGGGGAGCGGGCGGCAAGACCAAGCCCTGGTGCCCAACCGCAGAGGGAGACTGCAAGCTGCGGCAGCCTCGCGAACGCCATGGCGGCGCGGGGAGGGAGGAGGGGAAAAAAGGGCGGCGGGGAAGGGGGGAAAGGGCGAGGAGGAGGAGGAGCGCACCGCTGGTAAGGAGATCCCCGCAGGCGGAGCGGCAGCGCCGGTGCCGGCGCCCGCCTGGGCGGTTGGCAAGCGGCCCGCGCACGGTGCTGCTGCGAACGTCTGCGCGCAGCCCCGGGTGGCAGGCCAGGGTAGCTGAAGCGCGCCCTGAGCTGCCCAGTAGGGGGCTGCGGAACGGGCTTGCCTAGAACAAAACTGCGGCCAGCCGTGAGGCCGCGCGCTGCCGGGGTGGACAGTGCGGGCCAGGACTACGGGCACCTACTCAGTGCGGAAGCTGTTCAAAAGAAGCGGCCGAAACCGTAGGGAACCGCGGGTTGCCGGGGTGGGCAGCACGCGGCCAGGGCCCCCTATCGGCGCGAAATCATGTATGAAAGGAACCAGCGGAGGGGAAGGTGCCACGCGCCGCCTGGGTGGTTGGCGCGTGGCATCTAGGGCCGCCAGGCGACTCAGAGGGCGATGAGGGGGCTGCACTGATGTGGCTGGGCGCCCCGCACTGTTCTGGGTGCGCTGCTGACTGGGCGAGGGCAGCGTGGGGGAGACCATTGTCTGCGCCATGGCCGAAGGGTTCTGGGCTGAACAGTGGCGACACCACGTCCGGTTCCCGGCTGGAGGGCACCAGCTGGGTGCCCTGGTCTGGCCTTGGAGCAGAATTCTCAAATGCCCGGCAGGCCTGCCGCGTTGGGACGGCGTTGCCTCGACTGGGCGTTGTTTGGCCAGGTGGGGTCCGCACGCCTCTGGCCTTCCCCAACCGTGTCGTGACCCTTCCCGTTGCCCTTGCCCTTGTCCCGCTGCTGCTCGTTGCGCCGCAAGTGGCGGTACCAGACGGCGCCCCAGTCCAAATGGACTCCCCGCACTCTACAGACCATGCAGATGTTAAAGCATTCATTACACAATTGGTTCGCGACCTCATCGCAGAAAGCGTCTTGCCCGTCGGGGTTGTAGGTCCCTCTTCCTGGGGCCCGGTTGTCCCTGGCGTCAAAGACAGAGTTCCAGCCTTCGACGAATAAGGCCCCGCAGTCCTTCCTTCGCCTGTTGACGACATCAGGCCAGGTCTCGCGGGAGTTGGACCTGCAATTCTCCGTTCGGTACCACTTGATCATCCGACAGGGCCGGATGTATAGCGAGTCGTTGGTGTCGTCGTGGCGGGCATAGCCAGGATTGGTCCGCGAAGCTGTGCCAATCGTGCGCTTGTGGGTCGGCGCGGGTTGGGCCAGCGGTAGAGGAAGAACCCCCTCCCCCTTGATAGCCGGTCCAAAAGTTGGCGTGTTCCGTCCATGTTTGCTGGGGTTGACGACTGTACCTTTGCTCGGCCGTCCTCGGTGTGTTACGTGCTGGGGCGGAGCTTCGACGCTCGGCCTGAGGGCCTGTTCCTATGCTGTTATTGAAGGATTTGGCGGCGAGAATTATATCATAAGCGGGCGCGTAATGCTCCAGCAAGGAAGCCCTCAGGCTCTGCATCCTTGTGTAATGTAATGCTACGGACATGCTCTCGTAACGCCATACGGGACCCTGCGGGGGCCCACTATTACTTCAAGAAAGTATGCACAACACGCAAACAGCCTCGGAAGTTTCTGTTCACGGTCACGTTAGCCGTTAGCCGCCATGCAGCACCAGGCGAATGACAAATTCAGTCGGTCTGCCAAAACCAGTGGCGGACCCACGCACTCACACATCAGCACCGTTTCGAATTTGGGAAGGCAACAATAAAAGTGATACCCAATACGTGAGACATAACGATACGGAAAGCGAATACTGATACTCATGGAAAGTATTTGTAGGGGGGCAATAATGCGGCAGTGGCCACATCGAGAGAAGCAGAAGAAATTCCGAGTGATAAAATGTCATCGCGCACACTTGACACACACACGTACTTTGAAATGTTGAAATTTTGGGCCGTACCACGTACATACACAAACGCACACAGTACCCGGATTTGGAGGGTGCAAAACCGCAGGCGATCAAGGGGGAGACAAGACCAGGATTCAGAAATCGGGATGGTAAAGAGTAGAGCGGGGATAGGATCCAGGAAAGAAGATCAAGGAGAGAGGACCAAAGAGAGAGGATCGGGAAAATCTGATAAACGAAAGGAACGAGGATGGAAGGGAAATGACCGAGATGAGGAGGAGGAGGAAGAGGAGAAGAAGAAGAACGATGCGAGGAGAAAAAGGGGGGCGCGTAGCAGCGGCGCGCGGCATCGGAGAACTCAGCGATGAATATTGTCGCTACATCGGGGACGTGAGCAGAGCGGTCGCTCTGCAGGGAAACTGCAGCGAAGTCGGGCCAAGGACGTGCGACGTGCGTTCTCGTCCTACATATTGATACCTTTTCTTGCTTGTGGCCGACGAGATCCTCTTTTCTTGACAAGATCAGCAAGGTGAGCGCACGTCATGGGGATGCACCGGAGAAGCACTTCAACAAACCTGCCACTGAATCATAGCGTGTCCATGAAGATCCACACTTACTTTGGACTTGCGGGCCGCAGCTGCGCGTCACATCGGCAACTGTCAAACGCTGGCTTGCATGCTCTCGGCGCACGGTACCTTCGCCCAACTCCTGAATGCGGCGCGACGAGCGCTCAAGCTCGACAACTCGAAGCTGGCATACTCCCATCAGTCAGGGGAGCTGGCGGCAGCGACCCGCATGCCAAAGCATGCGCCCATGAGGTAAGCGCTAGCAGGAGGAGAAGGGGGAGACGATGCTGGACGAGGGAAGGAGGGGTAGGAAGGGTAATCATTCTCCAAGCATCTTCATACTAGTGCAACATACAAGGCATTCTATGTACACCCGCCTCACGATCGCCTGACAACGGACAACCGCGCCAGGGCCACCGAGAAGCAGTTGACTGCGCAACACCCTTTGGTTCCCTGTCTGGTCTAGGACTGAGTATGCCCACTCTTTCGGGCACCCCTGGTCCAGTCCGTCTCCAGCGTTTCGGCGTGTGGTTGGCTATCCTCTTCAGGACCTGCCACAACCAACCACACGGGGCAGGCCGACGCTGTCACGAACGACACCTCTGTTTCCGACTGTGCGAAAACACCACGCGTACCTCTTGAATGCAAAGATACAGTGTGTCTGGCTGTATGCTGGGAATCCTTCGTACACGCCAGAATTGCCAGAAGATGTCAAGCCAGGCTCTGAGAAGCTGCTGTTTTGGCCTTCAAAGAGGGGAGGCAACAACTAGGGTAGGAGGAGGAGGAGGAGGAGGAGGAGGAGGAGGAGGAAGAAGAAGAAGAAGAAGAAGAAGAAGAAGAAGAAGAGGAAGAGGACGGAGGTGACGACGAAAAGGAGCAGCAGCAGCAGCAGCAGCTGCAGCAGCAGAACAGCAGCAGTAGCTCGAGAAGGGGACGGGGGGGACGGGGATGGGTGCAGCTCAAGGGGCGCCCAGGGCGTGGCCAACACGGATGGCTCAAGGGGTCTACGCACAGCGCGGCGGCGCTTCGGGGGCGGCGGGACCAAGTGAGGGTCGCCGCGGCGCCCAGCGCCCGCCATCACTTGGCGTAGGGCACGCCGATAAGCTTGCCACCCCAGTAGGCCGAGAAGGGCGCCAGGGTGAGACTCAGGATGGCGCTGGTCACCTGGACGATGGCGAACACGACGAAGACGCCCATACTCTCGCCCACGAGCTGCACGCCGTCCTCGCGCGGCCCGGACATGGGCACCGCCACCACACAGCCTCGCTCGCTGCCGACCTGGCTGCGCGCTGGCAGCACTCTTCTGCTGGGCCGGCGGCCAAGGAGAAGACGCGCCGCCACCATTCAGCGTCGCCGGCGACGAGCGGGGCCGAGCGGCTACGTGGTATCTCTGTCCGGCCGCAGACCTTGTTGAAGCACGATGCGGTTTCCAAATCCGCCAGGAAGTTGGGAACTCCGGCCCCAAGCACTGCGCCGAACGCGGCCCACTTTATCAAGCTGGAGATCATGTTGATGGAGCTCTTGACCATGATGCTGTCTGGACATCGGATGAAGGCGATGATATCCGAGAGGTCAAATAAAATACCAATAGCAGAGAGAATGTATGACCACATGGTGGCCCGCATCGCCATCTGGTGACTCGCACAAGTATCTGTCGGACATGTCTCCAATATGTCCGCATAGTCCATGCAGAATTTCCTGTCACCGCACACTGTTTGCAGATCCTGGCAGTACAAGCCCACTATCGGGTGGATAAGGCACTCGTACCCAGCAGGGCAGCACCCTGTCTCGCACTGATCATGCTCATTGCTCGAACATCCGTCCAAGACGGCTCTGACGCATGGTAGGTACGCTTTGCCCCCATGGGTAGTCACCGGGCCCCTCATGTTCTCATATAGGTCAGTCATGTACTGCTCGAAGAAAAATGAGAAGGCGAACGCCGACAAAGCAGTGGCCACTGTAACCGTTGTGAGGACAACCTGCACCACTCCCCTTGTGCCGACAGCCATCTCCCAAGCCTCCTGGCAACCGCCCTGCTGCGCAAGTATACCCAACAAAGGGTGCGCCTTTGCGCCCGCGCAGTTCCCTGAGGAACTTGCCGTCGCGCAAACAGCTGGAGCCAAGCTGGCTACAGAACAACGGGTTCCTCTGACTTACGCACCCAAGCCCGGGACGCCCAAGAGCTACCCACGGAGGGTCCGAACATATTTTGCGTTCAAAAGCTGCCCCATCTTCAAAAGAGTGCTGGGGCGCGCTCACCCAAATACAATGACTGTGCAGACTCCCCTGCATTCCAAATGCATTGAAGCACCTGCATGAGGAACTCTCCATCAGAGGAACGCACCAACTGAAGTTGAGACTTTTGAAGGGTCACATACGATAGACCCAAGGCAAATCCGGGCCGCACCGAAACAAGCAAGTATGTATCTAGACGCCCCCACTGCACACACCACCACGTGTCCTTCTGCAGACGTGCGCCAAGCCCGCTTAGATCTGTGCAACAACATCTGATCCTGGCGAAGCAAAGCACACTTTCCAATACAAACGCAATCAAAAACACGATACCGATTTTCATACCGGCACACTTCCTCTGGCGGAGATGTGACACCATATTCGCAGTGAACAAAGACCGGCCACGTTGGTGACGATTGCACCCTTTGTTGCGGATGGAAACCAAACCACACACTCTGCTTCACTGACTGGCGAAATGGCACCACTGTCACGAGTAGACTATGTACGGAACGCGTCCACGCGAATTGCGCCCAGCGTAGCGGATAAAAGGCCGAGAGAAGGCTAGCAGCAAAGGGGGGAGACCCCAACCGGCTTGAAAAACCATACACAAACCCACACACACACACACACACACACACACGCACGCACACATACACACGCACACACACACACACACACCCGCGCACACACACACACACACACACACACACACACACACACACGCACGACACACGCACGCACGCGCGCACGCACGCACGCACGCACGCACGCGGCGCAATGCGAGCCAGAACCTGTGCGCGAAGCGAGCGGCAGAGCAGATCCGTGGCCTTAAATCCCACCAGCCCTTTGGGCGTGAGTGGTTTAGAGAGCTCTCTCTGTCCTCAACCCCCCTTCTTCCCCTTCGAGGAGGGGTTTACCCCTCCCCCTACCCCCTCCCCCTGGACCTGGAGAAGGAGTCCAGCGGGTCGTTGGGGGGGTCCATTTCGACTCCTCGGAGGGCCAAAAAACGACGACCCTCACGAGGATTCTGGCCCCGACGGGGGGACGGAGATAGGCCCCTCTGCTCTTCTTTGAAGCCAAAAACATTGATTGTACGACGGTTTCGGTCCAATTTTGGCCTTCTGAGGGGGCCGCGCTCATCTTCCTTCATAGCAACATAATTGATTTTACGAAGGTTTTGGGTTCATTTTGTCCTTCTCAGGGGGCAGCGCTCATTTGCGCTTCTGAGGAGGTCGCAAGAGGCCCCAAGATGGCCCCAAGAGGCCCCCAAGAGGCCCCCAAGAGGCCTCCAAGAGGCCCCCAAGAGGCCCCCAAGAGAGCCCCCAAGAGGCCCCAAGAGGCCCCCCAAGAGGCCCCCCCCCAAGAGGCCCCCAAGAGGCCCCCAAGGCCCCAAGAGGCCCCAAGAGGCTCCAAGAGGCCCCCAAGAGGCCCCACGAGGAGCCCGAACGACTCACACCAGGACGAGGGGCCCGAACGACTCACACCACGAAGAGCCCGAACGACTCACACCACAAGGAGGGGCCCGAACGACTCACACCAGGACGAGGCGCCCGAACGACTCACACCACGAGGAGCCCGAACGACTCACACCACGACGCGGGCCCCGAACGACTCACACCACGAGGAGCCCGAACGAGTCACACCAGGAGGAGGGGCCCGAACGACTCACACCAGGATGAGGGGCCCGAACAACTCACACCACGAGAAGCCCGAACGACTCACACCAGGACGAAGAGCCCGAACGACTCACACCACGAAGAGCCCGAACGACTCACACCAGGAAGAAGGGCCCGAACGACTCACACCAGGACGAGAAACCCCAAACGACTCAAATCACGAGGAGCGCTTTCTCTCCCTCCTCCTCCGCCTCGTCCTTCTCCCGCTCCCCCCACAAGGAGGATGTACAAGGAGGCGGGAGGAAGGAGGAACAGGGGAGATATGCGGGGCCAAGCGGACACACGCCTGAAAAACACGACTGTCGGCATGCTTCGCAAGAGTTGCTGCTGTGAAATGGGCTGGTGGGTATACGCGAAGCGTAAAGAATTGTTGGGTCCGGAGGTTGGCGAGTGGGTGGGGCGTCAGGGTGTCCTGATGAAAGAGCGGGGCTGGTGGGACTCTGAGGGGTTTCCGAGGCGACCGCTCCATACTCGGGCTGTGCGGCCTCGCAGGCCGCCCGTGTCGCCTACTCTGTCTCTTCGTTTCGGGCGTGCTCTCGGAAGTTGCCCAGGGCCCCCAGGACCCTGAGCTCGGTCTGCTCTATCAGATGACTGCTCACTGTCTTCGACTGCGCAAGGTCTTCGACACAGATGGCGCATCGGTGCTCGCGGGGCCCCGTTTAATTTGTTGCACTTCCTGTGGAGCCTTTGCCTGGGGGGCAGTCCGTGGGCTGGCCCAGCCGTGTACGCCAGAAGTGGCGGGTCGGGGCCTTCGCCAGCAGAGGAGGCGAATCCAGCAGCGGCGTTGCCCCAGGTGGCTCTCCAGGTACGACGGCTGGAGTTTGGGCGAGCCCTAACTGACCTCCCACATCGGACCTGACCTCGCTCGCCTCGTCGGTCTTGTCTGCCGTCATCTGCCCCCCGCCCCGTCGGCAGCGAGGGCCGTCTTCAGTCCAACCCAGGGCAGCCCTGAATGTCGGCTTAGACGCCAGGTCGGCTGCTGGCGAAGTTCGGCGTCGACCAGTGCTCGCTCGAGCATTGGATCGCGGAGGCCCGCGCCTTCCCCAAGGACGTGGAGGCGGGGCCCGCCGCGGAGGAGGAGAATGAGGCGGGGCCCGCCCTCCTCTAATATGTTTGGCTTTATCTTCGCGGTTGGCGGTCTGGACGTCTCTCCCGCCTGCTGCTTGTCTTATCTTACCGCCCGCACGCAGCGCACGCACGCGTTCACGCACGCACGCACACACACACACACACACACACACTCACTCACTCACTCACTCACTCCCTTACTTGCTTACTTACTTATTTATTTGCATACACACACACGCCAGAGCAAACGCCAACGCCAACGCCCACGCCCACGCCCACGCCCGCACGCACAAACGCACACGCACACACACACACACACATACACACACTGACACACACACACACACACACCCACACACACACACACGCCCACGCCCACGCCCACGCACACGCACACGCATACGCACACGAACACATCTATACACACACAACAACAACAACAACAACAACAACACCAACACCAACACCAACACCAACAACAACAACAACCACAACAACAACAACAACAGCAACAACAACAACAACAACAACAACAACAGCAACAACAACAACAACAACAACACACACACACACACACACACACACACACACGCGCGCGCGCACGCACGCACGCACGCACGCACGCACGCACGCACGCACGCACACACACACACACACACACACACACACACACGCACACGCACACGCACACGCACACACACACACACACACGCACACACACATGCACAAACACACACACAGACACGTTTCGGTCGTCATGGGTTGGGCCTGGGCGCAAGCCGTCCAGGATTCCCGCGGGCGCGCGTTGGCTGGCTGGGGGCAAGGAAGCAAGAGTCGCAAGACAACATGAGTGGCGGTGGCGGGGCATGGGAAGCAGCGGTAGCGGCGGAGCGCCACCGGCGGGGCAACACACATACACACACACACTTGAATCCACACACGCATACAAACACCCACACACACACAAACAAACAAACAAATAATCAATCAAACACACACACATATGTTTCACCGCAAAGGATGTGATACCAGTTGCGATATAATACGCACGATAATCAAACATCTGAATTGCACCCTGCCCGACCTATATCTTAAGGATCGGAACGGTGAGGAATTCCTCCCAGCTGAAAATGCCCCCGGTACAGCGGTGGATAGGAAGAGGAAGAGGAGGAGGAGGAGGAGGAGGAGGAGGAGGAGGAGGAGGAGGCGGAGCGTAGCCGAAGGAGTCCCACGTCCCACACTACACATATCTGCGCTGCCCTCCCTGCCTCTCTCCTTGCGAGAGCACGCAGCACGGGCCTTCACGATGGCATACTTCACCTGCCTGGGGGCCTGAAAGGGAGGCCTGCTCCTCGGCAGAAATTACCTTGATCGCAGCATAGTTGCGAGGCATGTCGTAATCCACGAATTGGAAAAGGGTGAGGTGGAGCGGGGACGAGGCATCATCGGAGCGAGGGGACCGAAGGGGGAGAGGAGTCGACTCCGACGGCGCTGGAGTTTGATGCCCGCTTGCATACAAGGCCTGCTCTTCGGCAGTGATTACCCTGACCCCACTAGGGTCGCGGGGCATCTCATAATCAATGAAATGAAATTCGATGAGCTCGACCTCTCGACCGAGTCCGAGCAAAGAGGGGGGATCATGAGGGATCGGAGAGAGAGGTGGCTGAGGCGACACCAGCAAAGGGAGACCTATTGCTTCAGAGCCCTTAGCCTCACTCACGGGGTCCTCCTCCTCGACGTCTCGGCGGGCCGCCTCGATGGACTCACGAAGGGTGGGACGATGAAGAAGTGCCAGCTGCTGACGTCCACGAAGAGGGAGCCTCAGAGCGAGCTGCGCAGCAGGGACGAGCTCCAGCGCCTTCGTGTATGTTGGTGGGGAGCTGTGCCGTGCTGCCATCAGCCGATAGTGGTGGTAGCAAGCAATGAGAGCGGCAGGAGTCGGTCCCAAAAGCCCGAGTCGATGCCGAATCTCGCCTGGAAGATCTTCTCGAAGAGTGAGGGCACCGAAGTGTAGGCACCGATGGCACTCCGTC